CCATTATTTCTCCTCAAATTATGTCTCCACCACTATGTTTTTATGAGTCTGCCTCATTTCCATTGAATGGCAGGCAGCCTTGGCATGTACCATACTTTTCATCACGTCTCATAAAACCCTGAGGAAGTAGGATTTCCAGAACTGCTTCAGAAAGTGCCAAGAGCAATGGGATGTTTGTGTTCAAGTAAGGAACAGTACTTTGAAGGAGGTTAATGCTATCATGTCTTTTAATCTAAGAATATTTTACTACATTAAATTTACTGTGCTAATTTTTAAAATTTAAAGATTCACCATATATTTGATCACCCCTGATAAACCATAGACAAGCTAACCAACCAACCAATAAACGAATCAACCAACCAAACCAAATAGCCAAGCAAACTCTAGGTTGATTGTAAAATCTAAAGGTCAAAGAAATATTTTAAGGCTTCTGGAAGACAATATATACATATAGCAGAGAATCTTCAAAAGCTTAAGCTAAGGAAAGACTAAACAAAATGTAAAAAACACTAACTGAATTGAGTAGAAAGAGTCAACTAACTACATTAAAATAAAAAAGTCTGAACATGATAACCAACGATAAAGGCACTAGATAAGGATACATCATCACTTTGGTAGGAATGCTGCCAAGAAAAAGTATAATCATGTTTACTCTACATCTAAGTGGGGAAAACATGTGACACACTAACTGATGAGTCCTCATCAAAATTGTCATGTCCATAAAAGACAAGAAGTCTGAGGGGCCATGGCAGATAGTAGGAAACTACGGAGACACCAATTAATTCCAGTGTGGGATCTAAATTTGATTTGGTATAGAAAAAAGATTAAGGGGAAAGTTTGTGAAATTTGAGTAAAAACTATGGTTTAGCTAACTAAATGATCTGATTTTGATAATTTTACCATGGTTATGTAATTAGGGACTGTTGGGTAAAGGATATACATGAATTCTCTGCATTAGTTTTGCAGTATTACTGTCTATGCTCTCTGTGCAATTTCACTGTGAAATCTAACATTATTTCAAAATGAAAAAAGACAAAAAAGGATGTCTGTTACAAAAAGAAATACTATTAAAACACTGAAAAGCCACAAAGGAGAGAAGGTATTTACAACACTTTTCCATTGGGATAGGCTAATAGCCAGAACATATGCAGAACTTTTATAACATCAGCATAACTCTACCAGTACAGTCTTTCATGAATCAGTGCACAAGAGTCAGATTTCAGTCGTAGTATTTATTTGGAAGAAAAGTCTCTTCCCACCATTGCCATGTTGGCTCCAACAACACAAGCATGTGGTAGAGTTATTTTGATTTTTTGAAAAAAGAAATTATCTTCTTTTATCCTTCAAAGGAAATTCAAGGCCAGATAATCTATGATACAGGAATAAGGGTCATGGAGGAAATACAATTTGGATTAAACATGTAAACAGAGTTCAAAGAGATAAAGATGAAGGACATGCAATGGAAATAGTTTCAGAAAGCCTCAAACCCTAGAATAAGAAATCACACAAGCAGATAAAAGAGAATTAAAATGTACTTCTTGAAGTTTTTCTGTAAATCAACATTTTTGTCTTTGACCTTTTAGTAAGAAATAAGGTTTAAAATTTTCTCCTAACACAACTCTCTTTTTGTCATTTGAGGATATATTTTCAATGACATATCTACCAGGAAATGTGTTAAAATACAAATAAATTGAGCACCTATCTTTAGTACCTGTAAATTTTTTTAGACATCCAAATGTTAAACTATAATTCCAAATGTAGTTTTTGATAGAAAGAATGTTATTTTCTTTCTGTACTGGAGAGTTTAAAATGATTTGCACTATGTCATATAACTTTTAACAACTGTCACCGAGGACTTGTGCAACAGTCTTATAACATGCTTTTTAATATTGGATGCACATTTACTAAGAATTACCAAAACAGCAAAAATGGTAGGCTAATTATTTCATTATTTATTGCCTCATGGTACTCAGCACGATATGTAGCTTATTGTAGACACACATAAAAGGGGCTGAGTGAAGAGGGGTGGGGGAAAAGAACTGAGAACAAAAAAGGAGAGATGAGGTAAAAGCAACCCATATGAGCAAAATTCATAGCAGGAAAACCCAACGATTTGCACCAGATGGGTTGATGGCTGTATTTTCTAGTCCATTAAGACAGAACTGAATTTAATGATCCCAGGTGTAGAAGAAAAACTACCTGATTTCTAAAAGAAACAAAATGAGATTAAAAAGAACTTATTACAAAATGAGTTCTTAATATGGGGACAATGTATTCTGTAACATCCTTTTATCAAATAATGCAGTATTTATATCATTTTGTTTCTTACAGGACCAAAATGAAACTTTACAGGAAACCATACACTAAATCATAGCTACACTGATCTAAACTTTTTATTTTCCAGGCAATCTGTAATCAATGTAGTTTCTCTCAGCTAACATTTTCTTAACTGATTTGTAGTAGTAGCTTAAACAAAAAAATTAAATGTTGGCTGTTCTGTTGTGATAATATGCAAAACATCTGTATTAATGTGCAGCAACTGGCAATAGGATTAATATAATGTTGTGAAAGTTGACGATTATGAAGAAAATACAGAAAAGCTTAGCCAGCCTGTGTTCTCTGCACAGAAAAAGGTCAAGGAACAGTTCTTAAGCTAGAGTAAGACACTGGAAAATTCAAAACCATAAGTTCTGTTTAACAGAGCAGTGCTACAATTTCAGAAGGTATCTGTCTGCCAGCCTCTCTCTCTCCTTTCTCTTCCCCTTGCCCTTCTCCTGTCCGCCTTTCTTCCTTCCCCTCCTGCTCTCTGCCTCCTCCTCCTCCTTCCATTTCATCGAGTATTTTACTTAGAAAAATCTCAGTATGTACAGTCTTAGTTAGAATGAATTTCTTGGTCTTTCCTTTAAGATACACTTAGAAAGATAGCCATTGAGATTACTGATTTAATTTGATAAAAGATTAAATATAAAGCAGTTAATAGTTTAGAGAGGATAGATGAGATTCTATCAATCCTTTAATTAAATATGAAGGTGATTGATTTAAATATCAAGACAATCCTCAGTGTTTGAAAACTATGTGCAGACAATAGAATGTTTCAACTTTTCAAAAAATGAATTAGCGATTTTAGATTTTAGACTTGCTGGAAATGGTAACCAGCTGACAATCAAAAATCTACTGGACTTACATAAGCAAAGTGAATTGGAATCTATTTCAAAGTTGAACTAAACTGTATTTCATGTCTCCCTGGGGATTAAAAGGCCACACAAAGTCAATACAAATGACAATAATTTGCTGTTTTCTGAAATTTCTGTACAAGAAGATAGGTTTAAAAAGTGATCTATGAAGCATTGTCTAAATCCACAATTTTGTTAGACCATTTGTATGAAAAAACCAGGCTTCCAATTTGTAAAGAAACTTTTACAAACAGTTTACAATTCTTATCTAAGCATCTGAGGAATAAACAATTGCCCCTACACATGGAATAAATTATATTGTTATGTTAGGCGGGCAGGACTGTGCCAAGTGAGTTGACAGAACTCTTTGAATGACTCTAGTAAATTTAGCAAGCAAATTTAGGCAAATGCTTTATTTATTTGAGATTTAAAAATCAGTTATAGAACATGCTGGAGTATTATTGTGATACAGAGAATAATTTTGGGTACATTCATATAAAGATCTCCATTTTTTTGTAAAGATGAGAAAATAAGCCACTTACATAAACAGTTACCTGTGTCTATGGCTACTGAAAAATTTTCTAACATAGATTTATTTTACTTAGCTCAAGATAACAAATTTAAATAAAATTTAAATTTAATGAAATAGTGACAGCTTCTGATTTTATTTTCATATATAAACGTACTAATTTGGCTGGCTTTTTCCCTTTCTTTGTCCTATTTTGGGGAAAATATCATTTGACTATTATTACACATACGTTTTCCCACTTGTAAATGATGATATTTTCATAACCAAATTAATTAATTATAATTTTGGAACTTAATTCTATCTTCACATAAATGAGATGTTTTGAGTAGCTTCACTCCTATTTTTCACTGAATCTTTTTCATTGTATCACTTTACAGACAATAAAACATTGATAAAATAAAATTCTCCAGTGATTAGTACTATCAAAATTGCCAACATTTCTGTAACTCAAATTAATCAAACTGAAGTGATTAGTGGAAAAGAAATTGTGGAACTTACAGGCTAAATTAAAAGCTATGAGGGAAGTAGAAACACACATAATATCAGGAACCAAAGTATATCTTTATAGTAACTAAAAGAGGGGAGGGAAGGTTGAGACCAACAATATGTACATCTCTACAATTATAACATATTTTTCCCCTTAGGAATAAACACAGGACTTTGAACTCCAAAAAGTCTTCTAATTTGAGGACTATTGCAATCAAGATAGAAAAAGGAAAGAAGTCTCTGATCATAAGAATCATTCACTCTTGCTCCTATTGTCATGAAGCCTTTATGAACATTTCTTTCATAGGTACTCTTAAAAAGAACGACAGACATGACCAAAGTAAGGAAACATGGCAGTGAAATTCATTTATTAGTACAACTCAGGTATGGTTTTTAAGGAGTCAGTCAATAAATAAGACTTTTGTGTTAGAAATGGTTGTGTGATGCCAAGAGAAAGCAAGAAACGACCAAGGCAGGACCGAAGGAAACTAACAATTCTTGGGAGCCTATTTTGGTCCAGTCTGTCCTCTATGCTCTATCCTAGCAATCTTCTCAAAAAAACCAAATGCGGGTCTAGAGAATTTAGAAGATGGAAACATTACATATTTGATGAGGGACTGAGGCAGGAACCAGCTGAGGCTGTTTGACAGAGCACTGTGCCTCTGCTTTTGGCCACATTGCTTTCTGGGATGCGATGGGAATGTATCTAAACCCACATCTCTTTCGCACCGGTCAACCCGTTCACCTAAATCCACCATGACATCTCATAAAAAAATGACACGATCTCCTATTTACAAATAAACACTACTTACTTTCTGGTTAATGAGCACTGGAGCTTGGCTTAAGGAAGAGGCCCACTTTACAAAATCAGTCACATCAATTGTCTTGCTTCCTTTGAGAAGCTTTGCCTTGAATTGTGCTGCATACTCATGGGATCCTCCTCTTACAAATGAAATGACATCATCAATGAGTTGATCGCGACTGACCTTTACTTGAAAGAGGAGTTAAAGAAAAGCTTTTGTAGTTCTGTGATCAGTTATCAAGATGACATTTAATAAATATGTATGTATCAAGTCCTTTTAGCATCTTCTGACATAATAAATGAGCCATAATTGTAAAATTATTTATATAGTTCCCCAGTTTTTATTAGTACCCAATTATAAACTTTAATTACCTTTCTTTTGTTGAATAAAATGGGTGCAGATGATCTAGATACATTGACAATTCATAGATAATCGCATAAACACATGTATACATGGAAATTTAACATGGCTTTGCATATACTACATATTTTTTGTTGCAAACTTATCTCCATAGTTGCATTTTGTATAGGTTTGCTATAAACTATGGCAATAGTATACAAAAATTAAAATGCATAAAACAATAATATAAAAAATAAAATGTCTTTCCATCCCAAGTTTCTACCCATCTTCCCACATCTCTCTCCAGCCTTATACACTGTTACAAAGATTTGTGACTCATTTAGATGTGAAATTTTAGGACTAAAAAAAATTTCAAGATTTTTTATCAGTCCTCATTTTTATGGCTAATAAATCTGAAATATTAAAGAAATGTAGTGACTATGAAACATTATACAATTAAAGGGCAAATACAGAAATTATGATATATTGTGGCAGATTCAGGCTTTTGTCACTTCCCAGTGACTTTCAGTCACGAGCACAAGTTAGAAGTTGATATGCCTTTAAAAATATCAGGCTTTCCCTTCTTTAGCTCCTTACTCTCAGCTGGTCTTTAAAAAGCTCAAGAGCAAATTCAAGGCCAGTTTGGAAAGTTCCTGTCTTAAACCTCACCCCCCAAAACCAAAAAACTAAAAAGCAATGTTTCAAGCATTTGTGTTTTTTAAAAACGCCCTCGGTTATTTTAGATTACAGTGAGAGTTGAGAACTCCCGCATTTTGTCATGCTTGAAAATCTGTTAAAGATTGATAACAGAAGGCAATTTTTATATCAAAGATATTTGTAATTGCACAAAACTTAATTTACTGACTGGAGGTGAAGGAAGGGTTAGCAGTTGCCAGTCTAGTGGAAACGAAGTTGGGGAGATTGTGTTGGCCTTCTCCTTTGTTAGCGGACACACATAACAGGGTTACAGGCCCATGGGAAACCTTGATTACATTGAAGAGGGGAAGGGAAGCTTTTCATCAAGTTCGTTTCTGCCACTGGCCTGCCGCCAATACCACAATGAATATACACTCCTACAATGGGAAGAGTGTGAGTGGCATCTCCTAAAACTGTGTACTGTACAACTGGCTTAGCAGGCACACTGGCAAATACATGTTCTGGGCTCATTTGTGATTGTCACAGTTCAGAAACCAAAAGCAAAATAGTTCTTGAGGACTCACAGCATTCCTAAATAAAAACAGTAGACAATGAAGAGGGAGCCCTGTGAGGGGGCAGTGCTCTTTGGCACTTCCCCCCACATTTTTAACCATGTAAGTTAGGGGTTGGACTTACCCGTTTTACTGTGTGTCCTCTTCTCACACTCATTGTGGTTCAACTGCAATGTGGAGTCACTTTCCTTAGTGTTTCCAACGAAACTTATAGATAAGTCCATATTATACCCAAGGCATGACTTTATATCATTTAGTTCAAAACCTGTTTTATGTATTTATTTAAAAATTGTTAGATTATATCTGTCAAGAACACAAGTAAATTTCAGCTTTACTATTTAAATATATATATATACATAGACATCATTACAGAACTCAAATGCAAGCTTGTGTCTGTTTTGTCTTTGCATTAGAGTATAGGGCCTCCTCTGTACACTAAATTTACTACTTGCTTAAAAAGGATATGGGTTGACTTAAACTGGTGATAGGGAAGTTCTTATCTGTATTATAGAGGTGGACCAGCAATGTCTAGTATATATTGAATGATTATTGTATACCTGACATCTTTCTATGCATTTTACATGTATTAACTAATCTGATACTTGTATTAACCGTATGAGGTAAATATTAACCTCATTTTACAGTTGAGAATATAGAATCAGAGTAGTTAAGTAACTTGCTGATAGTTAATTATCCATCTGGCAATGAGGCAAGTTGAATTTGAACTCAGAAAGGCCTGGCTATGAAGAATTTCCCTTATATCAATTTTGTGATTTGGTCATGGAATGTATCCACATCTCTTTGTATTTAGAAGACTTGATTTGTCATTAAGTTAGCTGATTCATTGTTTGAGGTTGGTGTCTTGTGTAGATGACAACCTTATTTTGATGCTATGAGCTATTTAATAGATATAAGTATTAGAAATCAGATCATTAGGGTATGTGGATAGCCAAACAGTTATTAGGAAGAAAAAGTCTTATGTTTAAACCTTAAAGTCTGTAATTTACAGTGTGTTTTCCTGATTTATAAAAGGTAACTATTCCTTTAAAGCTAAATGACTCAGCTTTTGCTCCTACAAACATTTCTGATTTTCTTATTCTCTCTCTCGCTCACACACATATGCACACATACACACACACACAAATATGAGATTATTTGTTCTGAACACCAAATTGCTTTATGAAAAAGGAAAAGAAAGGAAAAAATTAACTTAGTTATGGGTTTCCACAGTGAATCTTTGAAGTGGATATCTGGAAGATGTTAAATATTCATTCATCTGGCAAAGATTTCTTGTGCACTCACAGTTTTTTCTTTGGTTTCTTGAGATAGGATCTCCACGTAGTTCAGGCCGACCTTGAATTAACTACGTAGCCCAAGCTGGTCTCAGACACAACTGTCTTCCTGCTTCAGCCTCCCAAGTTCTAGAATTACAAGCTGCACTATCATACCTGTTTTTATTGGTTCTTATGGTTTTTCAGTATCCAGACTATGTTTGAATTTATTATTGTTGTTGAGTTCTTCATTGTTGCCAGCAGTGGCATAGCTTTTGCTAATAATTGCTTTTTACTATGTGCCAGTATGTGGTTTGTCTTTGTGTACTCAATAATAATTGTAGTCTATTTCTGCAGAACTGCATGCTGTGCCAGTTACTGAACCCTTCCCACTCCAAATTAAGGGAGGAGGTTGGATCTTGGGATAAAGGCAAGAGTTGAAGTCCTTTATGCCCACAGTGCATTACTGGAAAGCAGATAGTAATTAAAGAGATCTCCATACCACCAACAACATATTTCCCATTTTACTGACCCTCAGCCCTCAGTGCGCACACACACACACACACACACACACACACACACACACACACGAAATGTGAAAAAATAAAGCAACAGAATGCCTTCAGAAAATCCTAACTCCCCCAAAGTTGATTTATGGAGCATAAATGGGAGAGGAAATCAAAAGCCAAAAAGCTGAATTACACAAAGTGATAAAAAAGACAAAATAAACAAAGAAATAAATACATAAAGATAAAAAAGGTGCTCTGGGAGCTCAAAGGTGATGTAACTAGACAGACAGTGTGGTTAATAAAATAATCAGTGAACTTACAACACCAATAAAAGCTGAATGAGCTAAATAAAATGATGCAAAACATAAATGACTGTCTTACTAAAGAATTAGAGCCAGTGAACAGGCATCAAAGAGAAATTCAGGAGATAAAAATTCTAATGAAAGAATGGGCTGCAAAAATGACAAAAATATGCAGAGTGTCAGATTTAAAAGACTGGGCTGATGCATATGACCATATATTCAGAAATATCATTTTTTTGGCACAGGAAATCAAACTCAGGACTTTGTGCTTTCGAGGCCATCACTGTGTCACTGAGCTATATCTCTGGCCCCCAAAATACCTTAAAGACAACAGCAGATCATGGAATGTGGACCCAGCAGCTGCTATATGATGCAAAGAAAAGCCTCAACTCAAATGGAATCAGCCAAAAACCAAAAGATAGCACTCATGTGTTAATAATATCTGTTTACAGAAACAATAGTAGAAAAGTTTCTGAGTATGGGGAAAGAACTTAACATACAGATAAACGAGAAATACTGAACTCTGAATAACTATGAGGACAAAAGAACTTGTCCACGATGTATCATAATCAAAATCCCAGAAGGCCAAGTACAGGACATAAACTCTAAAGCTGTTACAGAAAAACAACGAATCACTTAGATAAACCCATTAGAATTTCTCTACACACCCCAAACAGATTTCTCAACACAGCTTAAAAGTCAAATGAGCTTGGAGGAAAGTATTTCGTGTCCTAAAAGAAAACAATTTCTAAGTAGGCTAATATATCATGCAGAACTATATTTCAAAATTGATGGAGAAATAAGGTCTTTCCATGACAAAAAATGTCTTAAGAAATACAGGACCACCAAACAAGCTCTCAAAAAAATTCTCAAGGATATTCTAAGAAAAGGTTAATGAAGCCAATGATACCAAAAGATCTCATCGAATGAATATGTCAAATAGTGTGAGAAGTTAAGCAAGGGGGGCGGATTAGAGCAACTTAAAACATAATGCAATGACAGGAACAATTTAATGATTTTTAGTAATGATTTTCAATGTGAATGGTCTCAATTTTCTAATTAAAAGATACAGATTGGCAGACTGGATCACAAAACAAAAACTAGTGGTTAAAAAGAAATTCATATACTAGAAATAAAAGAAATTCATAAAAAAATCAAAGGATGGAAAACAATGTTCCATGCAGTGGAAACCCAAAAATGGAGAAAGCACCAATCCTATTTTTGAACAAAGTAGACTTCAAACCAAAACTGAGAAGAGGCAAAGACAATCACTACTTACTGGCTGAGTGAACAATTTAATGGGAAGAGATAACAATTTCAAATATATATGCACTGGACACCAACACACATAACTTCATAAAACCAACATTACAGCCTAAAGAAAAAAGATCAGATAAACAGCAACACAATTATAGTGGGATACCTCGATACCCAATGTCACAAATAGATAAAAAAGAAACATCAGAATTGAACTATACATTCAAAAATTTATATTGTGTTCCTTAGAAAAAGAGAATATGCAAAGAACTTCTTAAATACATGGAAATTAAATAATACCTTGCTGAACAACCAATGGGTCACAACTGAAATTAAAGAATAAATCAGACAGTTTCCACAGTTAAATAAAATGTCAAAACAATATACCAGAACTTATGGACAGACTAAAAACAGTTCTAATAGAGAAATTTATAACAGTGAATACCTCTATTAGAAAATGAGAACCAGTTCAAATAAACAGCGTAATGTTGATTTCTAGAAAACGAAGAACAAGTCAACCCTAAAGCTTATCTGGGGAATTAGTTATAAGGATCAGAACAGAAATTAATGAAACAGGGACTAAGAAAATAATACAATGAATACATAAATGAAAAATTGGTTTTTTAAAAGATTAAACAACACCGACAAACCCTTAATCAACATTATCAAGAAAGGAAACTAAAGAGTCAAACATATTCAATAAGGAATGAAGAGGGTGAAATTCCAACAGAAATCCAGAAGATCATCTATACTGCTTTGAGAACCTGTATTCTAATAAGATGGAAATTGCAGAAGAAATGGACAGATTCTTAGATACATATGAATTGCCAAAAGTGAGTCAAGAATATATAAAAATTCTAATGAGCAAGAACTCAGTCAATGAAATTGAAGATATAATTAAAAACCTTCCAGTGAAGAAAAGCCCAGGCCCTAATGGATTCATCGCTAATTTCTACAAAAAAATTAGCAAAGACCTCACACCAATACTTGTCATATTCTTTAATGAGATTGAAAGGGAAGGAATACTCCAAAATTCATTCCTAGAAACAAGCATTACCCTGATAGCTATCTATGACAAACCAATGGCCAACATCTTAGTAAACAGTCAAAAATGGAAACCTTGAAAAAAAATTCAGGGCCTCCCCAGAATCTGCCATGCTGGGACTGGGAGGATCCAACAAGAAGCCAAGCATTCAAATTGTGTGGCTAGCAGGAAGAGGAAAGTCCATGGGATTTCCTTCTATTTTGTCTTTGAAATCCAATATTGTTCTCACTGTTTTGCTTTGCTCTGATTGTTTTGCTTTATTTAATATTTTGTTTTGATTGGTTTTATTCTGTTTTGTTTTTGACTTGATTTGCTATACCTGATGGAATGGACAACTATTGTAAAGATAAGAAGATATACCATGGTAGCTATTGTTTCTAGCATCCTGCTTTGAAGTTCTGAACCAGTTTCACTGCTTGGCTTTGACTGCCTTTGTTCTGTTTTGTTTTGTTGGATTTTACTATCTTTAAAATTAAAAAATATATATATAAAATAAACAAAAAAATGGAAAAATTTCCCTCTAAAATCAGGAATGAGACAAGGATATCCACCGTTACCACTTTCATTCAATATAGTTCTGGAAACATTAGCCAGAGTAATTAGACAAGAGAAAGAAATAAAAGGAATAAGAATAGGAAAGGAAGAAGTTAAATTATCATTATTTGTGTATTATATAATACTCTACACAAAAGACCCCCAAACTGTACCAAAAGACTTCTAGATTCAATAATCAAATGTAGTTTTGTAGCTGGATACCAAATCAACATTCAAAAATCAAAAGTTTTCCTGTACACAAATAACAAACTGAGAGAAAAATTAGTGAACAACACCTTTTGTCATAACAACCAAAAATGTGAAATACCTAGGAATCAATCTAGTGAAGGAAGTAAAAAACCTCTATATTGAAGTCTACAGTATTTTAAAAAAGGAAATTGAAAAGGATATCAGAAAATGGAAAGATGTCTCTTGTTTTTGGGTAGGAAGAACCATTATAGTGAAAATGCATACTTCCAGAATTGCTGCACAGCCAGAAATGATGGTACACGCCTATAATCCCAACCATTATAGTGAAAATGCATACTTCCAGAATTGCTACACAGCCAGAAATGATGGTACACGCCTATAATCCCAGTAGCATCTGGAAACTGACGCAGGAGGATTGCCATGAGTTCAAGGCCAGCCTAGACTACAGAAGCAAGTTTAAGTCCTGTTAGATCCTGTCTCAAAAAAAAATTGCTATATAGATTTAATACAATTCCAATAAAAATTCCAACAGCATATCTCACAGAATTAGAGGAAATAATCTTAAAATTCAGTTGGAACCAGAAGAGACCTAGATTAGCAAAATCAAATTTGGGCAACAAAGACAAGGCAGAGTAGCATCACAATCTCTCACTTAAAATTATACTACAGAGCTACTGTGATAATGGTATGGCAAAGCAAACAAACAAAAATGGGCCTGAAGATCAATGGAATAGATTAGAAGATGCAAAAACAACTCCAGACATACTTAGCCACCTTATCTTCAATAAAGATGCTAATCACCTTCACTGGAAGGAAGATAGTCCTTTAATAAATGATGCTGGAAAAATGGCCATAGGGAAGGATAATTTCAAGTCATTTATAGGAAAATGGGTGCATCTTGAGTCCATAATATTAAGTGAAATAAATTAGACATAAAGCTTAAAAATCATTTGGTTTCTCTGATATGTGATATCCAAAGTATAATTAATTTAAACACCAAGATAAAAGATAGATAATTAGAAACAAGAAGATAGATCTTTTGCTAATGGGAAAGGAGCAAAGATGGAGGGGAGACACCAGGGTGGAAAATGGAAAATAAAAAAATTAAAACATGTTATGTATATATACCAACTCCCTGTGATGAGTGTAATTATTATGTACTGCAAACATGTATTAATAAAAATTTAAGAAAATAAACATCAAATAACATTTCCAGTGGCAAGGAAAGGGCGTATAAGAACGAAGCAGAGTCATATACATAGAATTCTAGAATTCCACTTATCCATAAGAACCATGAGGATTCAAACAAGAACAAATGGTGGCAGGATCCTGGGGAAAATGAAGAATATAAAGACAAAAGATAGGTTTCTCCAAAGGGTTAAATTTCCTGCCTCAGCACTCAGCTCTTCCATGTCTAGACAGCCCAACTAAGGCTGAGGACATGGCTTACTCCTCAGGCACTGGTTCTGCATGGGAAAGGTGAGTTCCTCTTCAAAGGAACCAGTATGGGCCCAAAGGTCCTTCCTTGTCCTTTAAGGCTGGTAGTAAATAGAATTAAGTGGGTAACATACAGAATTAAAGGTCTCAGCTTATGAAGCTTTTGGACCACAGCAGCTCCTGGAAAGAAGAGCTCTTTATGTTTTGATTCCCCTTCCTGATCCTTTTTCTTTAAGTTACTGAAGACAATCTTCTTGTGCTTCTCCTGATATGAGGGATCTATTAACATAGACTCTGAAGTAGGGCTCATAAAAGGCTCACTATCACTATGCTCTGGATATGGCCCTGAGCAACACTGGAAATCAAACAATCTCATATTCCACTCCTCCTGGAAAGGTTTCTCACTGCCCAGACCAGACTGAAGTACTGTAAAGGGTTGGCTCCGTCATGTTTTTCACCTGTAAAGTGTTTATTCACTATGGAGAGAATTTCAGGCTTAAAACATTATTCATAGTCTGGGTGTGGTGGCTTTCACCTGTAATCCCAGAACTCAGGAGGCTGAGACAGGAGGATTGTTGCTTGAGCTCAAGGCCAGACTGAACTACAAAGTGAGTTCAAGGCCACCCTGAACTTCATAGTTGAAACCCTGTCTCAAAAAGACAAAACAAACAAAAAACAAACAAAAAAACTACAGAAAAATGAAAAAAGATCACATTTATATCCTATTCATCACCTGACACTTGGAATGATAAAAGTGGTTTTGGCAATACTTTCATCCCTGAGAGAAACCCAGTGTTATGGTTTGTGTCTAGATGTCCCCCTAAAGCCTCATGTGGTCGTAGGATGGGCTTTTTTTAGAGGTGACTGGATCAGTGACGCTGGAACTCATGGTACAGTGCCAGGCTAGTGGGCACTAAAATTAAGGTATGTGTGCTACCTGCCCTGAGTAGCCTGTTAAAGCCCCTTGCTTTTTGCTTTTGCCTCCATGAACTGGTTCTCCTTTATGCCCTTCTTTGCCAAGCTACTCTGCCTGGGAGCCAGCCAATTATGGACTTAAATGTCTGCAACTGTGAGCTATATAAGCCTTTTCCCTTTTAAATTTGTGCATCAGGTATTATTGTCTCAGCAATGAGAGAAAAGTACCTACTAAGACACCCAGTAATTGTGATATTGAGGGAAGAAATATTGTTATCCATCACTTCTTTGAGGATTATCAAAATCAGACATAACCACTCACAAAATAAGTGGTTAAAACTTACTAAAATGGTGACTTTGCATCTATTTTATTCTTCTTAGTTTGTTTAGGTGACAGAACTTTGCTATCTTGCCTATGTTGACTCAAACTCCTGGTATCAAGTGAGCCAAGTGGCTGGGACTACAGGTACATGCCACCATGAACAAATATTTACTTTATTTGTAAAGACTTGGATGAAATTTTAGGCCAAGGTGATGACTACATAGGACAGAAGCCTCTCAAATACCTGTGCATACACTGACGATTGACAGCAGTCCTGTTCTTCAGGATTCAAGCAGGAAACTTCCCTAATGTGGGCCCAACTCAATCACCACTATATGATTAGAATTAGCATCATGTGTAAAGTTAATTTCCTATTTTTGCTATCGCTTTTTGTCTTTTTTCTAAAAAAAGTTTAGAGTAATATTTTCTTTTAATACTGAATACTATTTTGGAAGATAGTCATTATACATAAATCGAACCAATATATATTGATTAAGAAATAGATTATGCAAATTACTTTTAGTCTACCTTCCTTCACCTTCTAAAATACATTTCACTATAAGAAGCATCCTCATATTACATAAATTATAATACAAGTTGATACATTCCCTAGTAATGCCACTGAGTAGTGTAGAAGCAAGTCAGCTTGTTAGGGGTAAAAATCAATTTGTTGTGTGATAGGATTTTAGGTGATAAAGAGAAGAGCATTCTCTTCAAAGATCAGACATCATTAGACCCTTTATTCTAAAGACTTGAACTACTGAAAGAGTTTAAAGGAATATGGGGTAGTCAAAACAGCATTTATAGTTAGAATTCTTTTTCTAGGCATACCATGCCGCTCCATGGAAGCTTTATCCAAAACATGTATTAGCTCATACAGTCCTCCTACAGAACCAGAGCTACTGTAGTGGGTTCCATACATTTCCAAAAATCCAAAATATTCTCCCTTTTCATAAGTAGCTGGCAGAGCTTTTATATCCTCCAAGAATGTTGTTGTCAGCATGACATCCCGGGTTCTCATCACAAATCTACCCAGTTGGACTTCTCCTTTCACGTGCAGAAAGGTTTTATTCTTTGGTGTAGAGAAAGTGAAGGAAAGAAATGTTTTAGTACTATCATTTCAAATAAAACATACAACCCAGAATTTCCCCAGTAGTAATGTTTTTAGCAGTGACCATGGTATACTACTTTATTCCACTTGAGCTAAACTTAGACATTATCATTACAAACTGTTGACAAAGATATACACCAACTGGAACAAACACATAGAGATTTTACACTAGTCAGAGTATAGGGTGATATAGTCACTTTGGACCTTTTTAGTCGATTCTCATAAAGTTAAACATACATGGATCCTATGATGAGCAATTCTATTCACATAATGGGAACATTGTCAACAAAAGACCAGTGTAGGAAAGTCATGGTAGCATTTGCTGAAATACTATAATTTTTTTTTTTGTCTTTTTCCTTTTTATCGGTACCAGGGATTGAACTCACGACTGCCTGCTCGCAAGGTAGGCACTTATGCCGCTGAGCTAAATCCCCAACCCCTATTAATCCTATTCTTTTAGTTGCTCAGGCTTCAGAGCTAGAGTCCTGTTTGACTGTAATCGTCCCATCTTAACTGTCACCCACTGAATTTCTACAGCAGCTTATAAGAAATCTCCATGCCTTTGTTCTTAGCACCCATAATCCCTTTCAAAGAGAGTGACCATCATAATCATTTAAAACATAAAGGAGAATACTCACAATCAGTTTGAAACCCTCCTGTGACCTCCCGTGTCACTCAGCCCAGGTCAGCCTGAACAATGGGCTTTGCGGTTCTTCCTGACCTGATTCAGGTCCCTTCTCCAATGTTTTCTCCTCATAACTCAATCTGAGTTGCCACATCAGGTTTTTCTACCTTATCTAGCAGTTTCTTCTTTCAGGATATCCTTCTAAATCTAACTGGACATTTCCGTGCTTTTGAATTTTTGCTCAGTTCTCATCTCCTCAATGAAACCCACCATGAGTTTTCTAATACAGTCATCCACAAGGCATTCCGGATTCTCCTAGTGTACTTCTGCTATGCTTTTTTTCACACCATTTATCACTTTCTAAGTTTTCCCCTTTTCTGGTTATGTTTATTGTTTTTGGTTGTCTTCTCTGAGCTTTCAGCGGCATAAGGACAAGAGTCTTGGTCAGCTTGAGTCACAAAATTATTCTAAATACCTAGGATGGTGCCTGGCCACAGAGTAAATGTATAATTAAATATTTATTGAATGATTCAAAAGATTTCCAACTGAACACTGTGTCGATGGCAGTATTCACACCCGAATAAAGCAGTTACATACAATTAGGCATTCCATAAGTGCTAAGAGTTAATTATTATTTATTAATAAGATGTCTAGGGTGAGTGCAATATTAGATAAGGAAAAATGAGCATTTTACAAGTTACACTTATTACAAAAATATTTGTTATACTTTTTACAAAAATTTTTTATATTTATTCCAATGGTGGCAAAACAAACTTCAAGATCTGGATTAAATATCAAAAATGTTAATGTTAATCTATGTTAATCTAGATTAAAAGTATGATTATAATGTTAACAGACTACTTTCATCTGCATGAGTGAAATTTCATGTCATTATTACTTCCGAGGCATACTTTGTAGTAAGTAAACAGCTATCATCCTAAGGCACTGCAGTAAATTTCCCAAATCCCTCAGTATAACTCTTCATTGTAATTGTGATGATATAATTGTAATTGTAATTGTAATTGTGATGGTATAAACCACACGATCATTTGAAAAGTATGCTCTGAATTCTTAGTCCACATTCCCTGCTCTCTACTATCATTTGACCCTCTGCCATCCAAATTACCATCAGAGTTCCCCTATTTATATTATTTTTTCTTATGTCTTAGCTACTTACTTGAGGATTTTATATTATTTTATTTGTTGTATGATCTTTATTTGCTTTAAGTATCTAAAAAGAGGGTTTAGCTAGCTTGAAATATATTCCATTATAATCTCTATGTCAAGTGACTGAAAGTCTTACCTTCTTTGAAGAATACAGCAATAATTTTTGATAAGTTTCATTTTTGAAATATGAAAGTCGAAGACCAGTTGAGATACGTATTTTAAGTGGGTTTATTTCTTGAGCAATTTCTTTATTGTCCCCCACCTCAGCGAGTGCTTCTTGAAAAATTTTATTTCCACCCATCTCAGTGGGTGTAAATTTTAGAGCAAAATTAAAATTTCTTGTTTTTTCTTGAAAGATACTTTGGAATGCTTGAAACTGTTCTTCATAATATTCTGTTCTGAAGTTTTTATCAACTTTGGTCTAAAAAGAGTATGATAACAAAGCATTGTTAAAAACAGATAAAGACGAACTATTCTCTAAAAGTTATCCTTCTGGTACAGAAAAAAAAAATTAAGAGGGAAGATGCTGGGGTCAGATTGTTGGTGTACAGAAGTAGGTTCTGTTACTTTGAGGACACTAGACAATAACTCTCTGTACTCTGAGTTGTGGTCTGAAAAATAGGGATATTCCTCATATTTATCCAAAAGTCACTATGACGATTCGATGAGGCAATTCACGTGACGGGTTTAGAATACAGCAAGCTTTCAGAAGTTAATATATTAACAAGCCCAGACCAACTTGTATACTCCCACTTAGATAAAGCAGAGAGCAACAGATCAGCAAGTACTGAAGGCTTAGGGGCCATGCACTGCTTAAACTATTTTGCACATGCTAATGATCTGAAGTACAACAGCAGGGATATGAGCCTTGTTCACACATTGTTCTTCTAACCTTTACACACCACTATCTGTCACAAAAAAAGGGTGCATTAAAAATTACTAGAAATGTAGGCAAAATACCATAGCACTTACCTTGAAAGGCAAGGTGTGACACGGGAATCCAAGCAAGAGCAGGCTTATATTTCCTTGCATAATTTTTTTTCTATTTGAATTTTAAGTATTTTTAATAATATACAATTTTCATAAAAACCTAAATAACCTTCTCAAAAATTAAAAACTTTTAATTAAAACATTCTTTGCCAGCTTGACTATAGGCAGGTATCAATGTGCTGCGGTTTGGATGTAGTTTGAGTATGTCTCCCAAAGTTTCATTCTTTGGCATTTGTAGGGTAACTTCGTCTGACTTCATCTGACTACAGCTGGGTGTTTTAGGGTGGGCAGAGCATGTGGGAGGAGATTCAGGTTAGACAAAAACATTTAAGGTAGAGTCTAGGGCCTCCAGTACCGTGAGCCAACAAACCTCTTTTCCTTACAGTTCTCCTGGTGCGTGGAATTGTTTTATTGGCAACAGAAAATGAACTAATATATGATGGGAAGGTTGTTAATATCAGTCTTTCAACTGCCTTTTCAGACAGCTTCTGAAATAGATGTAACTCTTCTCTTTGGTCAGTAGCATAGAACGCATTCAGGAGCAGGTACTAGATGGCTATTATGCATGGGGAATATATATGTATATCTTAAGATTTTCTTAAAATCAAAGATTTTCTAACTAAATGCCCAAAGTAATAAGAAAGAATGACCAGCTGTTGCTCTTTCTCTACTCAGAACTTTCCGTGTCATTCCACTGACTTTCAGATAGAATTAATACTGATCTCACACCAAGTTCCTTTCTGTGCACCTGTGCTTCCGTCATGAAGCCAGCTTTCAGTTTTCCACACCCTATGCTTCTTGTCAGAGGGCACTTTTCTTCTGTATTTACTTTCTGGAATGTTCTGTAACTGTCTTTCTTCAATGATCCCATAACAGACTTCCGGGAGAACATGGGGGACAGATAGCAGCAGCTACGGAGGCTCTCTGAAACACCCAGCTTAGAATTCAGGAATCGTGCTGAGTAAGGAATCATAAGCAAGAGGAGATATGCCCCGGTGATCCAAGAACGAACTGGGCTGAGAGAAACCAACTGGGAATGCAATCCTGGTGCTATAACAGGAACAGCTAAAGCCTCTGTGTGGAAGCTGGAGCCTGCGCCATTGGAAGCCGCGATTTGGGTTTCCTGCCGCCGCCGCTGCGTCTGCATCTGCTCGGCAGGGAGAGAGACGCACAGAAGCTCTGAGAATGGGAATCGGTGAACGGAGTTGAGAGCCGGACGAGCGGGGAGCAGTGCATCCACCTCTGGTGAGTGAGGGAAAACTGGGACTCTCCCACAGTCCAGGAGATGCCAACAGAGGACATTCTGGGACCGGGCAGACTTGCGGGAATAGGGCGCTGCAGTGACTTCAGTCACCAATCCGCCTCTCAAGCGGGAATTGGTGAGCAGTGCCTAGCCCACGTGACACTGCTGGCTGAGACCCAGTAGGCTAGCACAGCCCAGGTCCCAGCTCCTGAAGGTGACCTGGAGAGGCGGGCCCCGCATAGGCTGTCTGGTCTGTAACTCTCTGGTGCGCTTGCCGGCGCAATTCAATCAGACTGTGGCTGACAGGGAAGGAAGCTGGGCCTCCTATATACGCTTGCATATATAAGGAACAAAGAATATGGGAAGAGGCAGCAACAAGAAAGGGTCCTCGGCCCCCAATCCTGAGAAAGAGGCAACAGCAGACACAGCACCAATAGACATAAAGCGCTCTCTCGAGAGCCTCATAGACAAGTTCAGGAATGAAGTTATTAATGACCTGAAGCTAGACATAAGCAGAATAGTTAGAGAAATGCTAAGCACCACCCAAGAAAAAACAGATGGTGGAATGGAAGAACAGAAAAAGAGGGGAGAATTGTTTAATGGAGAAAATAGAGAAAGCATAGAATACGTGAAGTAGGTTCAAAGAGAATACCAGGAAACTAAAAAGTCTATTGAAAACTGGCATAACAGCTTGAAAGAAACTAAGGACAGATTATCTGAACTGGAGGGCAGATTTGTAATATGGGAGCATGAAATGAAAAACTTCTTAAAAATAACAAAGAAACAAACAGCAATAATACAAAGACTAGAAGATGATAAGAGGGTCTATAACTTAAGAATTTTTTTTCTCTCTTTTTTAAAATTTTATTTAAGGAGAAAAAAAAGCAGAGAAAGGGTACAAGTTATACAGATTTACAGAAAAAAATAAACAGTAGGAAATCACTAGTTAATGGATTACATATTGTCATCTTAGAGATAATTGTTCAAGTCACAAAATTAAAGCTTGTAAAGTGGACATTCCCAACAATGATACTGCAAACAGTTCTGTTCAGTGATCCAATAAAACTCAGTGATATCATTTTATAACTTAAGAATTAAGAACATAAAAGAAGAAGTAGGGACACAAACAAATGATCTACAAAAGCTACTCACAGAAATAATCCAGGAGAATTTTCCTAATTTAGCAAAAGGTAAAGATACTCAGTTGTATGAAGCATACAGGACCCTAGTCACCTACAACCCAAACAGAGCAACACCCAGGCATATAATAATTAAAATTCCAGAAATCCAATACAAGAACAGAATACTAAAAGCCGTCAGAGACAAGAAACAGATCACTTACAAGGGAACACCCATCAGAATTACAGCAGACTTCTCGGCACAAACCATCAAATCACGAAGAGCGTGGGGGGAAATAATTCAAGCTTTGAAAGATAATAATCTCCAGCCAAGATTGATATATCCTGCACAACTATCTCTGGAAATTGATGGAAAAACAAGGTGCTTCCAGGATAAAGAGGAACTAGGGGAATATGCAACCACCAATTCAACTCTACAGAGAATACTGCAAGATATTCTAAAAAAGAAAAATACGAAGAATCCAGAAGTAGCGGCAGAGAGGCCACAATGAATGGAGCAGAAAACAAAATGAAGAAGACAATCTGACAACTAATGACAGAAAAAGAGCTCAACAGAAATGAGGCAGAGAAGATTGGATGATAGGAACAGCTATTTTGGGGAGAAAATAATGTCTTAAGAGATAATACTGATTTAGTATCATCTTGTTTTGAAGTCTCATCAAGCTTTTGTTCTTCTGTCTCCATTGGTCTAAACAGGTGGTATCTTATTGGATTTTATTATATATGATACTATAAGCAAAACCTTTTATAGACAAGGAGATTATACAGAAACCATTGCTTATTTTCTGTTAGTTGATTCTAAATACCCTGTAATACTGTCATTCTCTTGAATGGTTTTACATTATTTTGATATATTTGATGCTACAGTATACGAAGTTATGCTCAAAGATTTCAAGGAAAGAGACAATATGGTAACTACTTTTATGTCGGGATAATCTTGTGGTGACACACTATTTTGCTTAAGTGGTTATGTTTTGATCTGTGCTGATTTGCTGTTATGCCCTCCTTTATCTCAATCTCCATTTTATTATTTACTTTTTTTATCCTTTTAATTAAGGGAAAAATAAATTAAAAAATAGCAGGATATATTATAGTAACCCACTTTGACTTTCCATTATCTTGATTTAAAGCCCTGTATTGCTCTCACCATCTTGTTTTGACTGATGTTCCCCTATTCTGTTTTGCTTGATAGTACCAGGTTTGAAAGTTTAGGCAACAGCTGTGAAGATAATAGGATTCATTATGACGCCCATTCTGGTTGACTATTATCTACTTTTGAAGACCTATAATGTCTCCAATGTTTTGGTTTTGTTGGTTTTGTTCTTTACTGTTTTGTTCAATTTTATTATAACTAATGATATAGGAAATTCTATTAGAGATAGCGGGAGGCATTATGGTAACCATTGTTGATCACCTAGTATTATGCTTTTACATTATCTATTACGTCCACCCTTTTGATTTGACTGACTGTTCTGTTATGTCACATTTGGTTCTACTTTCTTCCAAAAAAGTAATAAGAACTGTGGGAGTAATAAAACCCAAAATGTGTAATTGTCATTGTACAAAAGAGAGGAAAAGAAAGTGCTCTAAACGATATAACTGCATGTATATTTAAGTATATAAGATAGATAATGATATTACTGAGTTTTGTTGGATCATTGAACAGAACTGTTTGCAGTCTCACTGTTGGAATGTCTGATTTATAAGCTTTAATTTTGTAACTTGAACAAATGTTTCTGAGATGACAAAATGTAACCCATTAACTGGTGATTTCCTACTGTTTATTTTTTTTCTGTAAATCTGTATAACTTGTACCCTTTCTCTGCTTTTTTTTCTTTTTTTTTTCTCATACAAAATTTTAAAAAAATGATCCCATAACACAAACACTGTGCATACTTACACACACAAGAAAATACATACTTGGCCCTGTTAATTCTTATTTTTATTTCAAGTCCTAGTTTAAATATTACTTCTTTAGGGTGGCTTCTCTTAATCTTACAGATGTATATATATATATATATATATATATATATATATATATATATATTT